TTATATACACATCGCGTATTTGCATTATTGTCTAAATTTAATATTCGACTTTTTATTTTCTAAAAAACCAATATTTTTTCTATAATATTATGCCAACATTATGAACCGATACACACATGTAACAATAATATGTTCGGAAAAGTAGCATATTCTCCAAATGTCTAAACATTTTGCGGTAAGAACGCACGTAGTCGTTCCGCACGTATATACACAATTAAAGAAGAAATCCAAGAATACGTGAAACTTTTCGTAAGCTCGAAAAAAAAGAAAACTGACTAATTTACTTTCGCGGAAACATTTTCGTGGAAAATCCTCGTAATCCCAGAGATGAGCTGTCTTTCTTTATGTATATGTTACGACGAATTCTTAGGTCTTAAAAATAGATTTATCTCTCTCTCTCTCTCTCTCTCTGTCTCTCTCTCTCTCTCTCTCTCTCTCTCTCTCTTTCTCTTTCTCTCTCTCGAGAACGCCTCTTTTTTTCTCTGTCTTTCGAAGAAGATGACCGCACGAAAGTGACAGCCTCACTAATTCAGCCCCACAACAAGGTAAACCAGATTTTCTTTCGTCGCCAATTTCGGGACGTTCCATTTTTGACAATCAGCAAAATAGAAAATCAAAAAAAAAAAAAACAAAAAAACAAAATCAGCGTGAAGAGAGGACAAAAGCTATTACATTTCTATGCGTGAATTTCACGCACGCACGCACGCATTCGCGCGCTCTGATGCACAGCTGAACAATATGTCCTGGCTAGAAGACACACGATCGATGCACCTAACGCCTCAACGACGAAAAACATGAATGTCCCGCGAGGTACGACGAATTATCGATCGTGCCGATGCATGTGGGCTCGCTGCCGTCAGAAATAGCCCAGTTCCTCCTTCTAGTGGATGAAAGAAGGTCACGATAATGAACTATTTCACTTATTTTTACGCTCCTCGTTTTCTATCCGGTTATCAGCGCCGTTATATCGTCGATATTTTCTCTTTTTTTGAGCGTGTTTTATTCGTCTCGTTCGCGGTTATAAAATTTACGTAGTTTTAGCGATAATTACAAGCGTAATATCGCACATTCTCAGTTTCTTTTCCTTCGTTAGATAATCTTATAAAAAAAAAAAAAAAAAAAAAATTGCCATATATATCTAATATCAGATCAAAAATCTCTCAACCTCTTCTCGAAAAATTTCTCATCTCGTAATATTAGAAAATAACCCGCGCGATAACTTTGAGTGATATAATATTCTATTTTGTAGTTTATGTAACTCAAGATTATATAAAGCTATAATATATATCGCGCGACGCATTTAGAAACGATTGACCGCACGATCGTTTAAATATTCATGAGAGAGTTCCGACGTCATACATTATTGATAACGGCACTCGTGAAGCGCGCGATACGAGATGACGTCTTAACTCGAGGCTTCAGATCTCCCGATGAAAGAAAACTCTCTCTCTCTCGCGCGCGCGTTTCTTCCAAAGTAGATCTTTCGTCACGTATGTAAGTCTCGAACCGCCGTGATTGTAAAAAAAAAAAAAGGCCAGTGTCATTTCTAATGTAACAAATTGCGACGTAGCGTATTAAAGTTACATAAAACTCGCGAAATGCCCCTCAGGCGTGTAATATAAATCCAGCAGAAATTCAGGAAGTTCAAGAATGCATGAACAATTTATATCTCCGGCGTTCTCAAGAGCGTAATATATTTCTTCTGTGAGCATCGGCAGCAGCTCTCTCTCTCTCTTGGAAGATACATCTTCTGTCAACGCTCGCTCGCGCGCGCGCGTGCGCACGCGCGATTAACCTTTTGTGTCGGACGGAAATTATAAAGAAGATTAACCGGGCGACCAACCCTCGCCCGTCATAAAACGCGAGTATTTTTCAATCTCCAGTACCTCCTTGAAG